AGAAATCAAAATCTGAAGTTGAATTAAATCAAACCAGGTAAATCTTTCTATGATGGAAAAATACAATCTCCCATTTCATCTTAGCATTCGAAATGTTAATATTGGCTTAAAAATAACACAACCCGTGCATTGCACGGATAAAAACTAGTTTATTTAAAAATACAACCATTTAAATGAATAGTTTGAATCACTTTAAAGGAATTTTTCGTTAGTTTTAATACAAAATATATAGTAGAAGTAACAAAATTATAAGTTCAAATTATTAATCCAATATCGTAAAAGTCACCATAGAAAGTTTAACGACCCACTTGAATTTTTGTGTGTTAGTCATGAGTAATCACTTAAAAACACATTTTTTAATTATTATTTTCTTATTCTTAAGAGTAAATGAAACTGAAAGCTCATTGACGTAAAATTCAATTACAATCGATAAACTCCATTTATGTTTCGTGTTCAATGACGCACTTGTATTAAGTTTTGTTCACTAGACCATCAAATTAACTTTATTATGAATATGAATCCAAAACAAAGTCAATAAATGGTACAAAAGTGAAATTCATAAACTCACTACCACCTTTGTTTTTAATCTTATATTTTGTTTAAAAATGAAAAATCAACTTTTGATATTGAAATTACTTATTCGATCGTTGATTATATGGAATTTAAATCTAATAATTAAAAAGCCACAAGTCACTTTTTGTAGCGATCGAGAATTTTAAATTATTATCTTGAAAAATGTGTCGCTAAACTTTAACTCCAAATTTTAAAGTTAAAGTGTGTTCGTCTAGCCGTTGTAAAACCAAGTTAAATGCATTCAAATCAAATTCAATTCCGAATACTTTAACGTATCAAATTTCTTATTATTCTTTAAATCCAAATTTAATAGTTATAAGTGCAAAGTTTTATTTAGGGTCCGAAATTCTGTTAGCCCATGTCCTGATTATTTAGGTCCAATCTACTTAGACCCAATTATGAAAATTCCTACAGCCCAACTTTCTGGCCCCATTTAAGCCCTAGAAATCTGTGCCCTAAGTTATTGTTCATATAACTCTCTTTTTCACTCCTCACAATCCCACACCTTCTAGCAACCAAAATTGGTAAGAAATTTCACCTCTCCAAAATTTTCTTCTATGCAGTTTCACATACGAGAATCTAATTGATGCTAGAATCTCGATTTCTAGCACCAACAATAGTTCTCTCAAATTGGAAAAAAAAAACTCACATTGAGGCTGAGAGCCTCAGTTTCCACCATCCAAACCATCACTCACGACACTGCAAATTCCAAACCGCCACTGCCCAAACCCTCTCCAAACCATCCAGAACCACCAACCTCACCATCTATTCGAGCCAACTCCACCATCCTCAAAGAGCACCACCACGCCAACCGCACATGGACGACCACACACCCACTCGACAGCCCTTATTTCCGACTTAAAACCACCTCAAACCACCACAAAAACCAAGAAATAAGAAGACCCAAAGACTTACCTCATTTCTCGACCTTTTTCAGCTTGATTGGCACCAAGAAATTGACCCTCCAAGCCTCGGTTAGCTTCGAATCCACCCACCAAAACTCCCCACAACCTCCACACCAAGCACTGGCGCCACCATGCGGCGGTGGCGCCGACGCCGGCCACTGGTCGTCAGTCGAATCGAAGGAAGGGGCTAAGCCCCTTCCCATTGCTGTCCTCTCTCTCCTCTGTTCGAGAGAGAGAGAGAGAGAG